ATCTCTGGCCAGTATGTGCAATGCCCTGGGTTCGATCCTGAGCACAAATAAAAACAGCAAGAAGGGGCCGCAAGCCAGCTGCTCTCAGGGACAGATCTCAGACAACCCTGAGCAAGAGAAGACAGACACAGAGCCTGCTTACTGCCTGGTCTGTTGATGAACAATTCAGAGGAAGAAGGCAGAGCCACCTCTGTGTTAGGTGTCAACCACTTCTGAAGCAGTTGAGACAGGGTTCTGGAATGTTCTATCTTGGTCTGGAAACCTTTACACCAGTAAAAAAAAAAAAATTAATTAATTTACCTCTACACATCTGTGTGAGCTTTGTTTTCTGTAGGATGTTATTTTTCCATAAAATATACAAGAGGGAAGGAGCGAAGAGCAGGAAGGATGGGAGAGGGAAGAAGGCAGAAAGGCAGCCAGAAAAGGCTTGTCCTTTGAAGGCCTGCACTTGCTTCCAAGTCTACCCTTTGCTAGACATGTGACCTGGAACTGGACACTTAACCTCTGGGACTCTCAGGGGGAGGAGGGCGGTCCATTGTAAGATGGACAGCAAATGCTGCCCTGCCTCTCTCAGGGCAGTTGTGAAGGATGGATGATATAAAGATGTGTGATCTCTGATGAGCAGACTGGAAATGCACAGGATGTGGTTTTATTCACTGAAGTCAGGAGCCTACAGAGGATCAGCACAGCTGATGGCATTCAGCCTGGGGCCCTAAGTGGAGAGGATTGATGATGATGGTGTATGTGTGAATGTGTGTCTGTAAGTGTGGAGTGTGTGCACTCATTCATATGTGCATGCGTGCATAGTGTATCGTGTAGGAGCTTGTGAGTGCATGTGTATGAGGGGGGTGGATGGGTGTGTGTATGTATGTGTTATCTTTCCTTCATTTGTCCCTTCAGCTAATCCCTTAATGGCCTGGGCCTCTAAGCCCAGGCACACCTGAAAATAATCCCTTTGTTTGTGGGAGATGGATTCTGGCTCTTTTCTTTTAACGTGGATATAAATAGATGCCATGCACACGTTCCTCGTGGCTTCCTCTAAGCTAGGAATGTATTTCTGCCTCTAATGCTGCCAAATTCTCTAAGACTAGCAGGCAGTACTTTCGGAGCATTGCTACGTAAGCCAGGCAACTCAAGAGAAGATTGCTCACACATGCGTGTGCACAAACCACACTTGTGTACACATGTATGCACACACACACACACACACACACACACACACACACATCCAGGTCCTTGTGGCTTCTCACTCAAAGTCTGAAACAGCTCACAGGAACCCACTGAACTCCTGTGAAATCTCAGAGATGGAAGATGAACCCTCACTGTTGGGAGAAGTTAAGGAGTCCTGGCTTGTGAAGAAGTCAGGGAGATCCCAGGGCAGGCAAAAGATGAGGTTGTCACATTTTCCACAGTAAGTTTCATGTTATGGCCTTTGCTCCCTGGGGAATGCAGGTGCATGGAACCTTTCTCTTCCTGTATCTGTTTCTCCGCCCACACCGCCAACCGCCACCCCTGCTGTCTCTACACTTATAAGGCTTCTAATTCCCAGCTTCTAGAGAGAAAGGAGACATCACCGGACTCTGTACAGCACAGAAGGAGCATCGGGTGGGGCGGGGCGGGGCGGGCGGGGCCCGGTCCCCCATCAGTGCCTTGTGATGCTGCTTTAGAGGAGCAATATGGAGCCAGCCGCTTTGCTTTGACAAAACAAGACAACATCAGTTTGTCTATTAGGTCTCTGAATCTCAAGGAGAAAAATCTTTGTAAATCAATGCCACTTTTTAGATCTCTGTAAGTTCGAGACCAGCCTGGTCTACGAGAACTAGTTCCAAAATAAAAAACAAAACCAAAACCAAAACAAAACAAAAAACCCCAAAAAAGCTACGCTACACAGAGAAACCCTGTCTCAAAAAACTGAAAGAAAACACAGTCAATGCCACTTTTATGTCCTCATTTTCATGTACACCCCGGGTCACATCTGTGCACACACCTAGTGTGTGGATTTCTGTAGGTCTATATGAGTAAGTGTATGTCTAGCTTTCAAAGAACATCTCTCTCTCTCTCTCTCTCACACACACACACACACACACACACACACACACACACACACACACACACACACACACCTGGAGTCAAATGGCTACCATGAAAGGGAAACACTATTTCCCACTTAAAAGATGCCACACGCCTATAGTCCCAGCACTTGGGAAACTGAGGCAGGAGGATCCACAAATCCAAGGCCACCTAGAGCTACAAAGCAAGGGACCCTTTCTCAAAAAAGGAGACAAAACAAAAACAGTGTTTAATAAAGTTTAATATGAGGGCGAGGGAAATGGCTCAGCACTTGCAGAGGACCAGGGTTCAATTCCCAGCACCCACATGGTAGGTAGCACACAACCATCCCTACCTCCAGGTCCAGGGAATCCGACACCTTTTTCTGAACTCATAGGGCAGCAGGCACATACATGGAACACATACATACATGCAGGCAAAACATGCACATAAAATAAATGTTAAAAATAAAAGACTAAGAGGCCAAAAAAATCTAAGAAATAAAACTGAATTTATGGCCTAGTAAAGATCCAACATAAACGAGACTCTCCCTGAAAATCAAGGAAGCCTAATGTGAGAATGTAAACACGCCAGGTCCCGCTCATATTTTTAATTTCCGTTTTCCCTGATATTTAGTTTCCTCCTCCCTGAGAGCACAGAAATTCATTTCATGAAGCAAATCTCAGCTGAAATGACTTCTTAGCCCTGGGAATCACTTTCTTACTAACGCTCCTTGTAGAGGACAGATGTTTCTTATCAGGAGTCCTGCCAGTGGGTGTGTCCCAACAGAAATGCCCACCAGTTTGATGCTATTTCCAGAACGTGCCATTTCCATCATCCCTTTGCCCTTCTGGTGAATCGGGGTGGGGCAGCCAAGGGGGCCTGTGGATGGTGCCCTGGGAACTGAGCAAGGGCGTTGCTAGTGTACGATCCATTCATGCTTATGCCCTTCACCTGTGGAAGATGGTAGCTCCCATGGAATGCCCAGGGACAGAGGGGCGGATGGGGCTTCCTCATGGGAGAGAGGTGGGCTTCAGGGTCCTTACCACTCCACTTCTAAGTCTGGAGGCCGCAGAATCAGGGTGATTTCATACCTGGCTTAGCCCTCACAGTTTTCCTGGCCCTCCAGGCCAAGCAGACCCCACCCACTCCTACAGGCATTAGGCAGCTCTTAGAAACTGGGAGCCTGCAGTGGGCCAGCCGGGGTTCAGTGATGCCCGTTGCTCCATCCCTCCCGCTAGCTGTGTGTGTGTGTGTGGCGTGTGCGTGCGTGTGTGAGTGTGTGTGCATGTGCTGTGTGCATGTGTGAGAGTGTGTGAGTGTGTGTGTGAGTGAGAGAGTGTGTGTGAGAGTGTGCGTGACTGTGTGTGTGAGTGTGTATGTTTGTGAGTGAGTGAGTGTGTGAGTGTGAGAGAGTATGTGAGTGTGTGTGTGTGAGTGTGTCTGTCTGTCTCTCCTCTGCGTGTGTGTGTGTTATTTTAGCTTTCTGAAATGGGGTCTCTCACCTAACCTAGAGCTTGCTAATTCCATTAGACCATCTGGCCATCCAGCCCCAAGGACCCTCCTGGCATGCCACCAGTTGTGTGGCAAGCACTTCAGGGACAGAGGGTATGAGTAAGCATACCTCATGCATGCAGACCTCTCTCTCTCTCACACACATTCACACACTCACACACACACTCACACACATTCACACACATTCACACTCGCACATACACTCACACTCGCACTCACACACATCTCTCTCTCACACACACTCACACACACTTCCAAGGACAGATACTTCCTTCACCAAGCTTCTCATCCTTCCCTTTTGTCAAACGCATCCCACACCGCTTTGTGCTTGTGTGTTTCTAGGTGCCAAAGAAAAGCCACATCGGAAAGGCCGGCCACGGCTTGCCACGCCCTGTCCCCCAGCAGCTACGCGCTGCTGTTTGGCATCTTCTCTGGGAGCGAATGGTCACCCAGACAGGACTCCTTTCTCCGTCCTGTGCGCCGGCAGGGTGGTACACCGCCCCCACCTGTCAAGCCTGGCAGACACAGTTTAACCCTTGGCAGCCGCCCCAAGAGTTTCTGTGCAGTCAGGCCCACTCACTCACTGTTGTGGGGCTCACATTTTCATTTGGTATTTTAACTTTTCTTTTTATTATTATTATGGAAGACATTACTAGATACAATTTACAAGGCAAGGGGCTGGAGAGATGGTTCAGCGGTTGCTCATCAAGAAGGCCTGGGCTCTGTTCCTAGTACCCATATGCTGGCTAACAACTACCTGTAACTCCGGTTCAAGAAGATCCAAAACCTGCTCTGGCTTCCATGGACAGACATGTGCAGGCTAAACACCTGTGCACATAATGTAAAAATACAAACGGCTGGGTGATGACAGCACGTGCCTTTAATCCCAGCTCTGGGAGGCAGAGGCTTTCTCTGAGTTCAAGGTAGTTCCAGGACAGCCAAGGCTACACACACACACACACACACATACACACACACACACACACACACACACACACACACACACCTGTCTCAGGAGAAAAAAAATAAAAGAACCAATCTTTAAAACTAAGTAAATAAATTACAAGCCTAATTAAGGGACATCTCTGAACCTGTCACCATGTCGAGTACAATCTCATGGCCATTCTAGATTCACCATTTACCCACTCACAAGACTTTTTTTTTTTAAGCCCCAAATTTCCTTGCCATGTTATCTGCAAATATTTTAGTGTATTTCTCTCACATGGCCAGCGTATCCTAAAAGCAAAAACGAAACGTAATTCTTCCAAAATAACAACTGATCCCATTGGGTTCAAAGCCCCCTGATTGAGCGGTAATATTTATTTCACACTAGTTTGAAGCACCATCCACACGCCTTCCGGAAGGTCAGTGTGAGCCCGGCTCCCTCCCGGTAGGTATGTGTGTCCCTCCTGCCCCTTCCCACCCCACCCTCACCCCCTTGGTTAGACCCTAGTTGACCGAGACGGACTGCTGCTCTGTGTCCTGCCTCTCCTGAGCCTGGCACCGGGCTTACAGCCTGGGTGAAGGAAGGGGTGGTCTCCCAAGCCGAATGGGCTCTCTGTCCATCCCAACCAAGCCTATTTATTCTACATCAGTGAGTCAGTCCGGGGTTGTGATCTGTTACGTGTGTGGCTCCCCAAAGACAGAGCCCTTGTCTCTCCGGGTCTCTGGCATCCAGCCCAGCAGCGTCTGAGGTGTTCGCCATGAGTGTTGGCTATGGGGGCCTCAGAACACTCAGCAAGACTCTGGCTGACAGGCTTTCTCTCTGGCTCTCATGTCTTCTCCCTCCTGAAGATACTGTCCTTTCAGGAACCGGAGTCCACCATTCGCCATACACTGCTGCCCTCTGCTGGCCGGCTCAGCTCGGACCTTTGTGTCCCTGAGATGCCAGGAACGAACACCATCTAACTTAAATGGAGGGTGTGTTTCCCTTTCTGTGTGGTGGGCACACGAGGTTCCGGTAAAGCTCTGGAAAATCCCACCACAGACCACAGACCCAGAGAGGGGGCCCAAGCGTCCACATAGACTGAGAACTCGGGCTGAGGTGATGCTCGCAAGTGCACTTGAGTCAAGGCTTAGGGTCAGTGAAGGCCCTGCAGAGGAAGGACAGAGCCAAGGGCCGGCTTTATAATGAAGTGTCACTTAGCAGGCCTAGCGGGCTTCTCCTGACAAATCTGACAGTTTATAATCCACACAGGTTCAGCTGGGAGCCAGCACCATAGCCATCAGAGACACAGCTCCTAGATCACGGGGGGCGGGGGGGGGGGGAAGAACTCTATGAGGCACTAGGAATATCTCTGTCCTTTGTCCCTGCGTCTCTCTTTACATCCAATTGGTTTCTTAGAACCAACTGGCGCCTTGTGCTCCCCAACCCACGAAGTAAAAGGTGGCTCCCAGCAGCTCATGACAGCCGCACTCAACCTCTGGCTCATTTTCCTTTGCCCCAGCCCAGACCTCTATCCTGGTCCCCTTGGACCAACTAACCTCATCCTGCAGAGCCAGCTACACAATCTGTGAGACCTAGAGCAGAATGCAAGCATGGACTCTTCACTCAACAGGCGGGAGCAAGGGACGGCCACCAGGCCTAGGGCTCTCTCCGTCACTGCTCTTGTTGAACCTGTCAGGGTGCTGCTTCATTTCCATTCAGGGTTGTTCTTAGTAAAGAAAAGATCTACATTTCCAGTTACTCACTTTGAATTCTCCCATCCATGCTCTCATCACCAAAGCCAGTCACACGCAGGGCCACACAATTCATGTTTTGTGATCTCAGTGGCCACGGGACACAAACACAAAGTGACATCCTGAAGATGGGAAGCTGAAGAGAAGTTGTTCCCAGAACCCCCAAGCTCCTCGGACCTAGGCTGCCCTGAAGTGGGGAAGGGAATTGAGCCAGGGGACGCTGGTTCCGGTGTCTCCCCTTTCCACACAGCAGACCGATCCTTCCAGCAGTCTTGACTCTCTGTGTCCCTTGGCGGGTCCTGCCACATACTCCATGCTCTTCCAGCTTGAGGCTACTAAGATGCTGCGTGGTTTGCGAGCCACGTTCACACCCCTGTGTTCAGACAAGACAGAGACAGCAGCTGAAAATTCGTCCAGGGGAGGCAGCCCAGGAGGCAGGGGGTGGCCATACAAGCTCCAGAACACGCACCCCAGCTCTACCGAACTCTACCCCACAGCACGAATCTAGCAGTGAAGCTGTTGGCGTCTCGGGACAGCAGTCGCAGAGCGCAGCCACACTCAGGGCCTAGGACAGAGGAGAAGCGCGGAGCCAAGTAGGAGCCCCAGACAGAGACGGAAAGGGCTGGGGAAACCAGGCAATAGTTGACACTTTATATTATAAAGTACAAATACCTCCCTTGCCTTCAGAACACATGAGCATTCACAGACATGGGATTCGGCTACCTACATGTTCCGCAGCCTGACTCCTGATGGCCCAGCAGCTGTGTTTAACTTGGTGGCTGAACCGTCACAGATCAGCCGAAGTATTTGTTATCATGGGGACCCTGACCCCTCTCCCACCACCAGCTTTTCTGCAGTTAGTTATAGTAGTTTCCCAGGTAACACCGCTGTGCCCCCCCATGCTAATCGGGAACCCAGTGGTGCGCCCACCTATCCGTGCGGCCTTACGGTCACTCCCGGCTGTAAGCCACCAGGCTGGTCTGTGGACGGTGACAGCTGCAGGGTATGCTTGGTCTCAGAGCTGACTCTTGCTGCTCTGCAGAGGGGACACAGAAGGAAGTTAGGGATTCTGCTGGGTTGGTTGTGGTTAACTTGCTGAAAACTGCCAGGCCGGTAGCCACTGTATTACTTACTTCTCTTGTTGCCATGCCAAGATCCCTGACGGAAACCACCTAGTGAAGGAAAAGATCGCTTTGACTCACTGTTCTGAGAGTTCGGTCTGTCACCGTGGTGGTGGCGCTGGAGTGGCAGGAGCTGGGATTTGATCAGGACCAGAAACCAGGCCAGGACCTGGGTTTTAACCACCTTCAAGGCATGCCTCTAGTTACCTACTTAAGCAGCTAGGCCCAGCCTCCTATAGGCCCCTGACCTCTCTGAATGCAGTCACCGTCTGAAGAAACAAGCATTCAAAACATGAGCCCGTGGGAGCATTTCAGAGATAGACAGTAGCCCTGGCTACAGACAAATCCCCACCCCCACAGGGAGCCTGCCCCACCCATGGGGTACCCACAACCTGCTGGCCACACACACCAGTCTGTCCCTGTTCCTAAGCAGATGTTAGGAACCCTGACAACTGCACTCCCCAAATTTAACCGGCCTTTTCCAACTTCTAACCTGACGCGTGAGAACATTACTATCTCACGTGTTTTTCTTCATGACTTCTGTCCCTCCTCTGGGGTTTTGCCTTTTCATACCCTGTGGCAGCTTTTCGTCTGAGCTGTCTCTTCCTTGCTGCTATATAATAGCTTTGGGGGATTTTGTTAACTGTTCATCCCTGCTAACTGTTGCAAGCTTTTATTCTTTGTTATTTCTCTCGTGTCTTTTAGCTTTATTTCCGTACCAATTACTATGCAGGTGACAGCCACTCTGAGCCTCAGCTTCCTCATTTAAAGAGGAAATAGCTACCACCTTGGTTTGCTGGGGGGGGGGGGTTAAACAAGTGCTTGCCATACTCAGCCATGCTATCAGCTCCCAGGACATGTGACTGTCGCCGTAGTTTTAGAGTCTGCCTTCGCTGCTTTTCCTGTTGCTGTGATAAAAAAACTGACAATACTGAAGGGGGAAATGGATTATTTTAGCTTAAGGTTTCCAGTGGCAGCCCATCACAGTGGAGAAGTCAAGGCATCAGGAGCTCACATCAGCAGGGTCAGGGTTCACAGTGAATGTGTGCATGCCAGAATCTCCTGCCTAGGGAAGGGTGTTACCCACAGTGGGTGGGTCTTCTCCCCTCAATTAACCCTGTCTCCCAGGTGAGTCTCCCTCCTGTCAAGTAGACAACACGGCCATCACGCCAGACCTCTCCACTTTATACCCAAAGGTCCCCAATTCCCAGGCTGAACTTCCTCGTCTTTGTTAATGAACTGGAGACGGGGGTGGGGGTGGGGGGTGGAGGGGGGGGTGGAGGGGAGCTACTGAGAGGCCATCTGGATGGAATCTACTTTTCATCTTGTGGGACTTTGACAGAAATGTCTGCTGAAGTCAGAGCAAGAGTTCATGAAAAGGACTGAGAGCTTGAGAGCCCTTCTAACGCAACCCTCCTCTGCTCCCTGCCTCAGCCAGCCCCTGGGTACCACAGCCTGCAGGAAGGCCTGCCCTATCTGGACATGGTGATTGCAGAGACCCTGAGGATGTACCCACCAGCTTTCAGGTATGCCCACGGCCCCTTGAACATGACCTTTTGGACCTTTACTGACCCTCAGTCTGCTGCCGCCTGTTCCGTGTTCCCAAAGGGCCCCTGGGTTTCCTTGCATCCCCTGGGGATGCAGGTCTGAAAAGTCTGGTCCATTCTCCTGTAGGTTAACCACCTTTACCAAACATCACTAGCCTTTCCGACTGTGGCCTTCCTCCCCAGCCCAACCCTGTCTCTTTGGCCCCTTATCCCTTGATGGAATCTACCATCACCCCTGCCCAGATTCACTCATTCAGCCATTATTCATTCCCCACCTATATATTCTATGCTAAGCATAGAGAGGTAGCCTATGCACCAAACAGGCTAATGCCCTTGGAGGCAACTTTCAGCCGAGAGTCATCTAGGGCTAGAATGTTCCTTCCTTGGTGTCCAGCAGTCCCTGCTCGAGCTCTTACACAATGTAAGACCTCATAGCAAGGATTTTTTTTTTTCAAAGATGTGCACGTGTGTGTGTGCGTGCGCGCATGTGTGCCTTCACAGGTTTATGTGCACCACTTGCTTGCAGGAGCCAGCAGAGGTTAGAGGGCATCAGATCTCCTGGAGCTGGAGTTGCAGAAAGCTGTGAGCCACCTGATGTGAGCGCTGGGAACCGAACCTGGAGAGAACAGTAAGAGCTCTTAACTGCTGAGCCATCTCTCCAGCCACAGGGGCTTCTACCCCTCGTCCCACCCAGCACGTCAAGCTGCGACTGAACTTCACATTACGTTCTCACACACAGTTCAGCGCGCTCACAGCATCGCAGCCACCTGCAAATCCGCTTAGGAGCCAGGTCTGATTCTTTCAGCCTCCCCCAAACCAAATGCCCCACGGGAAAGGCGTCTCAACTAGGGTCCCCGAAGGTAGCAAAACAGGGAGCCGACGTCACGGAAGTTGCACGAAGCATTTAATCGTATCTCTTTAAACCTCGCTCAGTGCTGCTTCTAATACCACATAGACCATAAGGAGACCTTTTGTCATTTTCAAGAGAAAATGTGATCTGAGGGTAGTTCAAAGGGATGTTTCAATCCACAAACATGACGGGGCAGATGTATAGACATAATCCAAACTGTGCTGGCCCAGAAGCAAATATTCTGAGTTGCTGAGTGTGAGTTGAGGGTCTCTTGACACAGATCGGCTCATTAATTCAAAGGCTTACTCGTTGCTCCTCTGATGCTGGCAGAAGGATCCAAGTCTGTGGCCCTGCTGGGCTTTCTTAGAAGCCACGAGCAACCTGATGTCCAATCCTTTTTTCCTGGTCATGATTTATACCCAGCTTTCCCCCCAGGGGACTTAGCAGGCAGCTGGTATGAACTGTAAAGTACAAATTCAAAATGAAACTCAAAACTAAACATTCAGTAGCAAAACAGAACAAGGCTCCTTCAAGGACCGTCTCCATTTCCCAGGTAACGGGGGTCAGGCCTTCCCACAGCGGCTGAGATGCCTGAGAAACAGGGAACTGACTGAGCTGAACTATATCCCCCCAGAAGGAAGAAACTGTACAAACTGGACAAAACTATATCACTTCATCTGGGTATGGTGGTGCGTACCTTTCATCCCAGCACTCAGAAGACAGATCTCTGTGAGTTGCAGGCCAGCTAGGACAGTATAGTGAGACCTTAGCTCATATTAAAAAAAAAGGGGGGGGAGAGAAATCTTTCCCTAAATCTAAACCCAATCAAGAATTCATCTCATGGCCAGACGTGGTGGTGCATACCTATAATCCTAGGTAGCATTTGAGCAGCTGAGGCAGATGATCATGATTTATAGGCCAGCTTGAGCCCATACAAAGATCCTATTTCTTATATTTCTTGGTTGTGAGCCTAGCCTTTAACAGCTGAGCCATCTCTCCAGCCCCAAAGATCCGATCTCAAAAACAAAAAATAAGAAATTCCTCTCCTGAGATCACATCTAGGTAACACAGTAAAAGAGTAAAGGAACAGACTCTAAAATGTAACCCACGGGGACAGACACTTCAACATGTGGACACCGTCCCAGAGCCTCCGAATAGCCCACTGTAAACAATCAATGGATGCAGGCATTGTTTTGAACATCCAGTACCTGGGCTGCATAACACAGGGCCGGTCTAGTGTAGGACAGCCTTAACCCTGGGCCCTGGTCTGCTGGACAATCTTGGCTGGCTACACTCTGCCCTGAGCTTCTCTCTTCACACGGTAGGTGGGGAGAGGGAGGGGGACTCGGAGGTGAGAGGTGAGGAAATACCTTTAAGCAGCGACAGAGTGAGGTCTCAGAGCAGGGACACTGGTCACCAGCCTGGGCACAGCTTCATTGCCTCCCTCCATTGGCCCCATAGCTGCTCCACAGACACCTCCGCTCTTACAACCCCGGCAGCCTCATCCAGGGGCAGAAGTAGAAGGACAAGCCAGTCACACGTGATGCAACACACAGGTCCGGGAATGAATGTACAGCGACAGCATTTCCTTTTCCTGTAGTTTCCTCTGTTTCCTCTTGAGAAAGCGTGCTGACTTCTCCGCAGCAGCATGGCTTACCTGAAAGAGAAGCCAGCGCCATAAACAATCCAGTCAGTTGTTTCTGATGTGAACTCAATCCAGACCGCACAGTCTAGCTCGGCGTGTTCCCATGAATCAGGCAGGAGACACCAAAGGGGTAGGCCCTATCCCCAGCCTGCCAGGAGTCCTGCGTGCTGGTCCCAGCCGATTCTAGCAAAGAAAAGCTGGAGATACCGGAGCATGGCCACGTGTCACTTGGAACTAAAGTTGGAAATGTCAAGTTGTAAGTTCTGGATTTTGGAGCCAGCTCCAAGCCACATTCTGAGGGTACCAGAGATTTTGGATCCGAATGGGGTCCCTAGCTTGGCTTCTTATTGTTTCTGAGACATCCCAAGGTTAAACAGAGGAACCCCATAGTTACTCTTAATTCCTTTCATGAGCAAAACCAATATACCACTGCACTTTGTCTGATAACTATTTCCTCTAAAGCATTTGGGGATGCTTAAGCCTATCCCTTGAAATAAAAACCAGCATCATCTTATCTGTAGTGTGTGTGTGTGTGTGTGTGTGTGTGTGTGTGTGTATGCCCGTGTGTGCAGACTGGACAATCACAGCTCTTATCCTCAGGGAGGCCATCCATCACCTTTGAGAAATTTTCCCTCTTTGGCTAGAAGCTCATCAATTCGGCTAACTCCTGGCCAGTGATTCCCCAGGGACCTCGCCTCTGCTTCCCCAGGGGTGGGATTACGCCCCTACCACACACCCATCATCAAACTCAGGTGCGTGCTGGAAAGGCACACACTTTACCAACTGAGCAATGGCTAAGACCCAGCGTTATTTAAAAATTTACAGTAATTATAAAAATAATGTGCTTCTACTTAAAAACAAGAACAAACCCTAAGCATAGAAGGAGCCAAAGGAAATGGACTTCCAGCCCTGTCCAGTGACATCCCCCTGAAGAGGCCACTGTAGGTTAGGCATTGCGTTGGTCAGCTTTCCATCGTTAGCACATCCGAGACAGACAGCTTAAAGAAGGAAGAGTTTGTACTGGCTCATGGTTTCTGGGGTTTCCATCCAAGGTTAGCTTGCTCCATTGTGTTCAGGCCCGGGGCGTGAAGGCATGGTAGAAAAGACTACTCTCTTCATGAAAGCCAAGCGTAGAGATGGAAGAGAGAAAGAAAAGATAAATTCAGAGATGGGGAAGGAAGAAGGAAAGGGAGAGGGAAGAGCCGGAGAGATGGAAAAAGGGAGAAAGAGGGGGGGGAAAGAAACAAGAGGGAAATTAAGGGGCCGGTAACAAAACAGACCCTTCTGTAGCAGGCCCCCAACCTGCATCCTCCAGTTTGGCCCCAACCCCTAGTTTCCACCGTTTCCCAATAATGCCCAGCAAATTATGAATTCCATCAATCAGTTAATCCACTGATATGTCCAGAGTCCCCGCGGGCCGATGACTTCCCCCAAAGGCTTGTCTGTGAACAGTGCATTGGGAACCCAGCTTTAAACATGTGAGCCTTTTACAGGAACACTTCCTATCCAAACCACAGTGGGTGCTCTTCTAGAAATGCTATGTTCACATACAAACACATGTAGTCTCCTTCTGACTGGACAAAACGGTGTGGCCAGGTGCCCTCCACCAAATGAGGAAGACGCCCAGATTCTAGGGTGACAGCTCTCCATTTGTCCTTCCTCTGCAGAACTGCTCACCTGAGATGGTTCAGATGGCAGTCTGCATGCGCCTCTCCACAACAGAATATTAACAAACAGCCCAGCCTCACTGTGGTAGTCTCAATGTAACTGGGCCCCATAATCCCAAAGGGAGTGGCATTATTAGATTATTAGGAGGTGTTGCCACCTTGTTGAGGTAGGTGTGGCCTCGTTGGAGGAAGTGTGTCACTACAGGGGTGGGTTTTGAGGTCTGTTTTACTCAACCTTAGCTCAGTGTGACAAACAGCCCATTTCCTGTTGCCTTCTGGTCAAGATGTAGCCACCATCATGGTGGCATGTAGGGTCTCCACCATGGTGAGGATGGACTGAACCTCTGGAACTGTAAGCCAGCCCCAATTAAATGTTTTCCTTTGTAAGAATTGCTGTGGCCATGGTGTCTCTTCACGGCAATAGACACCCTACCTAAGACACTCACCAAGACCACTTCTAGCATTAGAATACTCCAGAGTTAACATGGCGCTAACAGAAGGATTGGGGCTACTATAGACACTTTTATCCTGTTTTAAGTATTCAGAGCACAGGTTTTCCACTGATTCCAGGCCCCTGTGGAGGGAAGTACAGAAATGAGCAGGTATGTAGACAGAACAGGCAGATAGGAGGAGGCGTGCTCATCACCCAGTATCCCTGCCAGGCAGGAGAGCCAGGTCTTTTCTACAGGGAGGGTGTCTCTGCTATAGGCTGGTTTTCCTTGTTTTTCATCTTCTCCTTAATTTTGTTTGTTTATTTTATTTTATTTTATTTTTTAAGATGTGAGTGCTCTGTCTGCCTGTATGCTTGAATGCCAGAAGAGGGCATCAGATCCCATTACAGATGGTTGTGAGCCACCATGTGGTTGCTGGGAATTGAACTCAGGACCTCTGGAAGAGCAGCCAGTGTTTCTAATTGCTGAGCCATCTCTCCAGCCCCTCATCTCCTTCTCTTAGTCATGGCTTCATGAATTACAATGAATGGCACAGGTTTGCCAAGTAAAATAAAAACTGTAGAGTGCCCATTGGGTGGACTTCCCAACACTCTCAAGGATCTTGGCATGAAGACCACCCATGCAAAGGAAGAGACAGAGGCCAGACAGCAGGGATGAACCACCAGATGGGAGGGAGAGAAATGGGGGAAACTGAGCATGATTGTAGGAGTCCAGACTGTGAGCAAGAGGATAAGAAAGTCGAGAACAACCCTTACACTCCCATCAGAAACCATCCCTTGAAAGTTGCCCCTGCACCCCAATACAAGGCCACAGAGGGCCACCCAGCCCTCACTTCACCTGTAATGGGAAATGTCTGAAGTGAGGAGAGTGAGGAACAGTCTTTGTTTATTGAGACAAGCAGGCAAAGTTAGAAAGACGCCCATCGGCGTCTACAGTCCCAGCTGTAGATGGAGAGGAGAGAGGGGAGGTAGATGGAGGCATCGGTATTGATAAGGGGAAACAGTAGCTCCAGCTCCACCCTTGTCCAAAGAAGGCTTTATCCCATCCTTCAAAATTCTCAAGAAACTCTGGCCAGAACTCTCAAGACTGAAATCTAGACTGCATGTGTGCATCCTCAAGATTGCATTGTGCATCCTCAAGATTGCATGTGTGCATCCTCAAGACTGCATGTGTGCATCCTCAAGACTGCATGTGTGCATCCTCAAGATTGCATGTGTGCATCCTCAAGACTGCATGTGTGCATCCTCAAGATTGCATGTGTGCATCCTAAAGCAAGCACAGAGGGCCCATGGTTCTCTTGGCTATTTGGATTTCCAGAAGCTGACTTCTGTCTGGTCCCAAGAGTAACAGCATCTGAAGAAGAGGAACTCAGATCATGGACGTCAGGCAAGGACATTACAGCATTTGGAGTCTGAGCTTCACGGCTGGCATGACTACAGGAGAGTCGTGATTTGGTGGATGCAGATAAGCACTGGTAGAGAATAGGGATGAGATCCATGATGAAATGAATCAACTTCACAGTACAGTAAAGGACAACAACAAACTTAGTGATAAAGCTGACTGGCTCTAGCTACAAATAAACAGTCTAAAGGTTTCTAAGTGTACCCGGAAGAGAGTCTCCTCTCCAGCAGCCACAGAGCTCAAGTTTCAGGAAATCAAACTGAAGCCCTCCTTATAAGGTTGGCTGAATTACAGCAAGGATTCAAGTCTCAGTCTCAGAGGGTGTTGGTGGTTAAAAATAAGGACATTAATTGGTAAAGAACAGGGTCCTAAAACCTGGAATGGGAATGTGTGCCAGGGCCCTACTGAAACTTTGAACCCTTAGATTCTTAAGGAACCTCACTTGAGAAAGTAGTACCCTCAGTCCCATCCCTTGAAGTATTGCTCTTTTCATCTTCTACTGAGGGAATAAATGCTTCGGTAACTGCTAAACCAGCAGTGACTTCTTTTGGAGGAAATGCCATGCAAGACATTACTGATGTTCCTCAAGGCCACCAATAGTTGCCTCTAAACCTCTGGACTTTTGGTACTGACTAATCAGTCATTGTGTTTCCAGCCATAAAATAGATAAGAAGCCTACTGCATCTGTTTGAGCTGTATAATCAGAAACATTCTCAAATGAAAGAAAGGCTGTATTAGATCATGGCAAAAGGCAATCTCGTGTAACATGAATAATAATAACCCAGAGACAGATATTGGGATTCAAGCTAGATCAGAAAAGCAAAGTAGCCAAGCCACTGGAGAGTTCTCACCTCTACCAAGGCTCAAACCAAAGGGGCCACCCTGTCCTCAGAGTGAGTGCAGCCTGCAATGCTCTCCACCAAACCTCAGACTGCCCTGAGATCCTGCCTTATACTCCTCTCTAGTGCTGGGATTAAAGGCGTTGGCACGCTCAAGTGTTGGGATCACCTTTGTGTGAGCAGTTTCTCTTTTAGACTGACTCACTCTCATGTAGCCCAGAATAGCCTTGAACTCACAGAGATCCATCTGTGCTAAGATAAAGGTGTGGCCACCACTGCCTGTCCTCTATGGCTTAGTGTGTGTGTGTGTGTGTGTGCGCGCGCGCGCGCACTTGAGTGCATGTGTGTGGCTAACTAGTGGCTTAGCTGTATACTCTGATCTTCAGGCAAGCTTTATTTGTTAGATTACAAACAAAATATCACTACAATTTCAGCCAGTGAATCAATTTCCAGACTTGAGCCAGTTGGC